CGCCAATATGCTGCTAGTTTTATATATATATATATATATATATATATATATATATATATATATATATATATATATATATATGCTGGAGTCTACAAATGTCTGAAAAATCCTGAAATTCTTTTTAGATTTGTGGGCTTCATTTTTTATAGAATCCCCCCCACCCCAAGTAGGCTAAGCACTTTTATTGGTGGTGCCTCTAGTAATGGTTCCCCTCAAATTTTCAATGACAAACAAATCCTGTCACATGACTGATAACTTTAATCTTGTGGTAACCTGGTCCATAGTTCTGTTTCTTAAATTTTTGAATAATTGGAGAGTTTTTTCTAAAATAATTAATGGGGTCTACCGTTAATACTGCCCCAGTATCCAAGTTGAAATGAATTACATTACTACATAGTTTTATAGTAACTTTAATATCAGTTTGCCAGGCTTTTTTGGTAACCGCATTAATTCTATCATTAGTAGTAATAAACCCAAGGACATAGAGTGGCTCTTCCTCCCTCATTTCTCAAATTTTAGACCTGCCAGTCCTATGCGTTTTTGCATAACATCCTTTTCTTGAACACTTTCGACAAATTGCATTTTTGGCTGGACAGTTGTTTTGAGTGTGAGATGGAATATTGTCACATTTATTTGTACTTTTACGACATACTGTATCTTGAAGCTTCTTTTTATATTTCTTTGGTGTTACTCTGCTAATATTTGCTTCTGTTGCATTTGTGCCTAAAGGAATATTTGTTGCTTGGAAGTTTCATAGGCCTGCCTATGTCTGTACATTTGTCTAGAGTAAGCCTTTTATCCTTTAAAAACTTTTCCCTGACTATCATCTTTAACTCCTACAACTATTTGGTCTCAAATTAGCCTGTCTTGCATTTCCCCCAAACTGCAGCCTTTTGCTAACTGCTGGAGCACAATGACATATGCCTCTATACTCTCTGAAGCCTCTTGCTTTCAGATACAAAATTTATAAGCTTTGTATGTTACATGGGTGTCTCTAACAAAATATTCTTCAAATTTTGTTATTACTACTTCTGAATTTTCTTTCTTGAATTTCAACCCCTCATAAATGTTGTATGTATTTTTTCTATTATTGACAAAAAGACAGATGTTTGGTATGTACTATCAGGTTGGGTTGATTGGCTTGATTGGCTTTTGAATAATTTTGAAAATTTTGAATAAACCTTTTTTCAAGTTAGTTACCAAATTCCCTGACAAAAACCATTTTTGCAGGAGGTTGGACATTTGCTGTAAAGTCCCTCTGGTTCAGAATTTTGTGCAGTGGACAAGTCATCACTTGGACTAAACATCTTTTTAGAGTAAAGAAAACAAATTTGTTTTTTGGGGGTTTTTTGGGGTTTTTTTTACTTTATAAACTGTAGTTTAAACTAAGAAAATTTTTTTTTTATTTTTTCCGAAAAAAGTGACTTACAATTTCTTTTAAGTTTTGTTTTTTAGTTCACTTGCATATTCCAATGGCTTTTTTTTTTCTTTTTTTTTTTTTCTTCTTCTTCTTTCGGACACTGTGCCATAAGTTCTTCCTGAAACCATGTGCAGTAAATTAAGTGTATTTAATTACAGGAGTGGGGAAAGAGGAGATGAATTTTTTTCCTGTTTGTTTTGATGTCCAAACTCGTTAATGTGTAGAATTTAAAATTTGCACCTCTTCATTCATGCTCCATTTTATAGTGATGGCTGATACCATTTCTTGACAAGGGAGGTAACCGTGGATTAATCAACAGTTACTATCTGTTACTTCAGTTTGCCATGATTGAAAAACAGTCGGACACACATACACTGTATTTTATTATTATAGATTGACTCTTTTGAAAAAATTCCTATGAAACTCAATAGTTAAACACAAATCACTCTTTTCAAGTGTAATCAATTTAAAATTTGCCCAAATTAACATGCCTTAGTAATTTTTTTTTTTTTTTTTTTTTTTTTTGATACTTCAATCATTTGTCAAATATTTGGTCTTTTTCTTTCAATGTTAGTAAAAGACATATTCATTTAAATCCTTAAAAGGTTTAGATTGATACAGGCCAAATGCCATTGTTCAATTTTATTCATCTGCATGTAAAACTTTGCCAGAATTGACAAAAGTTTTTATCTTGGAATGTTTCCTTTATTGCATCATCATTTTATTTGGTAGTCATTTTTTACAATTATTATTTTAGACTATTATATTCGATGTCCTCAGGGACTATTTTTTTTTTCTGCTTTATGCTTCAACAATCAGAGGAAAATGACTGGAATATTGTGGAATGAATAAGTAACTTATTTGATAAAGTAGTTTGACAATTAATGGAAATGCTTCATGATTCTAATTACATAAATTGATGACGGAATGAGAAAAACACTGCATTTTTTTTTCATTATTCAATCTTGAGAACCACTTTTTGAAATTCTTGTCATGTTATTAAGTATAACCCTTTATCCTCTCATTGTAAAACATTCATTTTTTTCTTTTCTCTACAACATCGACACTGGTAAATAGTAATTGGGATTTATGTAAACATTTCAACAGGAAGAAAATGTGACAAATCTACATTTTTTTTTTTTTTTTTTTTTTCTCTAGTTTTAACCCCTAAAGTAATTTTTTTTAGTATTCTGGGGCTCTAAAAACAGATTTCTTCACTTCATTTTAGAAATCTATTTTTAACTAATCAAAAATGAAATCAAAAAAAAGAAAAAAGTAACTTATGAAGCTTTTGGAAGTTGTCATTATAAACTGATATTCATTTTGACTCTCATTTGATTTTTTTTTTTATTTTGAATTTCTTGTGGTTCACTAATCAGTTTGTTCCTCATAACCATGTGTATTACTTAAATGGGGGGGGGGCGGATGGAAGAAACATCCTGTGTCGCAGCTCTGAAAACTGGTTTAGTCTTTGACTGAAAATACACTGATGCACCAAAAGTCATGACATAGCATTAGGTAAAAAGTAATAGTAGGTGGTGCCATCATATGTTGATGTCCTGGAAATGCTCAGACCTATTTCTGTTGTTTTGATGTCTAATGAACAGCTTAACAACCAGTCTGACTGTAAATTGGAGTTTAAAGCAGTGGTTCCCAACTTTTTTTCTCTGGGCCACATTCAGAATGAAAATTTGCTTGTGCCTCACCAAAATTTATGTGATAAAAAGTACATTTAAAAGTAAAAAAAAAAAAAAGCCAGACAGAGGATTGAAGGTAGATAATTGCAGATTCAAAGTCAGACATTATCATTGATAACGCTCTCGTCCAATTTGCAGACCCTGGTTACTATATTCTTAATACTTGATATAATGCAAAAATATCACAATGATAAAATGTATCAATAATTATTTATAACTATTTATACTGGGACACATGCATGCAATTACAAGTAATCTATAATAATATTTTTACATTTTGAAATCATATTTATTTTTGGCATATGAATTTTTTGAAACTGTTTTTAAATCTTTATCTTTCAATCATTCTGCCTCACCTGCTATTCTCTTCTGCCGCACCCATAAGGTGCACTGCATCATTTGGGAACCACTGGTTTAAACAGAGCATGATAGACAGATGGGGCATTACATTTCAAACAATTATGAAGACATTTGACATTTTCATTTATGGTGTCATGTGTTTACTGGGAATATCTGATTAAAGGCATTTTACTGCTTAACATCGATAGCACTTCACTGACCACAGATCCTTAATGATTGTGATCAGAAGCAATTGGCTAGAATTGAATTTACATAAAATCAATGCAAGTTAGTTTCATGTTCTTCAGCTTCTCTGAGATATGAGAGCAGAAAAGCCACCAGGGTGCTCTTATAAACTCCACAACACTGTGTACAGTACCTCACCTACGCTAATGACATTGATTATTGGACCCTAGAAGAATGGCAATGTTTGCTGCAGTTCAATAAGTCATGGTACCAGTTGTTTTAGGTCAGTGGTAGGGTTTGTCTGTGGTACACAGCCTATGAGATCATGGAACTTAGTTGCCAGCAAGGCACCATGTAGACTGGTGGTGATTCAGTAATGGTGTGAGGCATGCTCACATGGTATTGGTTGATTCAACTGGTCTGTCAAACACTTCCTTCACCAATGACAAGTTGTACTGCTTTGTGACCCCCCCAAAATCATGGCCTCCATGTATCCAGACAAATTTTAGCGATTTCAGCAGGATAAGACGCCCATTTGTCATTGGGCCTGTTGATCTTGAAAAGCATTCTGGATATTGATGAGGTCTGTTGACCACATTTGCCCAACATAAATCTAATATCCCTAGTATTTATGAGATATACTGAAGACGTCTGTTGGCCCACAATATGCCACACCCTCCAAATATCAGGGGGGGCTATGGTCAGCTGTCAAGATGGTGTAGCTTAACCTCTGTCCAGAGACCTTCTGATCACTCGTCAAATTGATGCCATATTGTGTTGCTGAGCTAAAAGTTCTTTATCAATGCATTTAATTCAGTGTTGAATATTAACCACAGAAATTGGTCATTGTAACAATTTCGTATCGTTAGTAAAATGCTTTTATCGTCATTAGGATGTGAACTTCTGATTTCCCTACATTGTGTCTCTTTAAAAATATATATATATATATATATATATATATATATATATATATATATATATATATATATATGTGTGTGTGTGTGCCTTTTATTCTGTTTAATCAATTCTCTTATTGTCAATTATTCCTCTAATCAGTTGATGATGCAGATTTCTATTTTTCTTTTAAACATTGTTCCAACAGTGGCCTGAACATCCACAACCAACATTAGAGGATTGTTTTATTGATTGTTTATGATTTTATTGATACTGTGTGATGTGTATTTTATCAGCAAATGACAAATTCCTCCATTGGAAGGTGCCGATCTCAGAAGATGTCAAATTATTTAAAAGCAATGTTCTTTTAATAAACTGTGGAAAAAAAAAAAAAAAAAAAAAAAAGTTTTCAGTGTGAATCTTTTTTTCAATTCATTCTGATTTTATTTATTCATTTTTTGCAGTGATTCTGCTATAAAGTCCAATGTTGGTAGAATATTTACTATCTGGGAGGAACGTAATGTGTATGATTCCAACTTCATATCGGAACTCAAAGATATGCTAGGTAAGTAAACATTTAGAACTTGATTGCCCCCACCCCTACTTCTTCGCTTTCCACTTATACATGGGCCTTATCTCTGGCACTTGCCAATGATTATCTAAATAAATAAAAAAAAAAATATCAGCCTTAAATTTGGCTGTCAATGAAAATAGAGACAGGCATTTGCTAATGGCCATTAAATGCTTTCTTCTTTTAGCGATTATAAAACTTCGGTCAAGTTACCATTTAAAAATTTGATGAACCCGAATTGAGCAAGTCCTCCATTCTTGTCCATAGAATATTTATCAATATGAACAACCAAAAAAGCAAGATCAAAGCTTAAAAGATATCAAATTGAGGAATGGTCACTCAGATATTGTTATGGTCATCTTCAGATACTTTATTTATTTAATCAATGCACTGGGAATATTATAATGATAGAAATAAACGCCTCCTGTGGAAAGGCATTATAGATTCTTTTTTATCTTAAATATAAATTGTACAAATTGTAATCTTTACTCATTGGTATACTTTTGTTTTTTTCTTTTTTTTTTTTTTTTTTTTTTGCTTGAAGAAAAATGTGGGAAATCTCAGTTTCTGAAACACCATTGAATTCAACAAAATCTCGATTATTCTTCAGATTCTATAACATAATATCTCTCTCTCTCTCATATACACACAAATTCTAAAGCTATGTATTAATCATAACAAATTTATAGACATAACTGATAAGGTGTATTTTTAATTGAATTTTTTTGACAGTAAAAAATGTATTGATTGAATACTACAAACCTAGTGTAAGTAAATTAAAACTTATTTAATAAAAGCCTTCTCTGTTATTAACATAAAATGGATAACATTTGATTCTTGATAGTCTATTTGCACAGACAATATTCCAGCTGGACAAAATGCAATAGAAATTGTCTGTATCTTTTATTTGAATGACATCTGTTTGAATTTTTGTATTTGTTCGGGTTTTATTGTTTTTCTACTTAATCCTACTTTCTCTTCCTTTATGGTGGGAAATCTTGTCTGTGATGACATTGCAATATTTCTTGAGATGCAGAAAACAGAAGTGCTCTTAATTTCTTATGGGCAGACAAAGAAATGGTAAACCAATTTTTTATTGGCAATGCAAAGGGGAAGATATGTCAGGAATTCTGAATAAAATCAAAGGAATCAGTAGGAGGTCGTAATTCCAACGCATTAACAAAAACTCAGATTGTTATTTTCTTTTCTGCTCTATATTCCATTGGGCAGTAGATATTGGTAAGCGTGAGTACAAAGGGATTGCTGTCTATACCTCTCCTCTGACAGCTACCAGGGAAGGGAGGAATCTTGAAACTCTTTCACTCCCTCCAAAACCAACCTAATAATGTTTCATCACTGAATAGATGCTGAATTTTCCCCAGTACTGATGAACAATTAAACTCTCAGTGGAGTTCCTTGGTTTGAACATCTATTGGGACTCCAGTTCATCCCAGACCTCAAGTAGAACTTTAAAAATAGATTTTTTTATATATATATATATATATATATATATATATATATATATATATTAGTACAGGTAATAGATCCATTGGTATATAATTCAGGTGGTTCCTAGTAATATCATATTAAAATTGATCCACAAATACAGTTCAATGTATTTATTATAGCAGAGCATATATATTATACAGCAAAAAATCCTAAATTACCCCATGTGGGTATAGCCTATTTCAAACCAGCGCAACCTTGCACCAGTCTTCTTCAGCTCTGGACTGAATTTGTCTCAGATTCAGGGATTTGGAATTTAATTTAGATACCAGTCAATGAAAAGGCACAAGCCTACCCAAAAAGATGCCTCATCTAGATAAAGAGCCAGAGTTAGTAATGGGGGAATGGTCGCTGGAATCAACCCCAATAGCTACTTTATGATCCTAAGTTGGGGTTATATGAAGAGTGAGGTGTTGAATTGAAACTAAAAGAGCCTCCTTCCCCCCAGAATGGGAATTTATTACAAATTATTTTAATTATATTTAAAGGAATTTTAAATTCCTGCTAGGGACTACTAAATTATACCAACAACAAATATGTTTTAATAGGATTAACAATAAATTGTATTTAGACAATTAATATAAAGAAAGAATAGAATTAACGGGTTTTATATTATTAAGTAATGGGGGATTTAAAGATAAACCAATTTAAAGTTAGGATAAATTATCCGTTTATCACATTAAGGATCGGTTAAATTATTAAGAAGACCAAGCTGTACCCGAAGTTCTTTAAGGGAAAAATATCAAAGTAAAAAGCTAATCAGATAGGATTAATATGGAGAATAGAGGGGAAATATAGAAGTTAATTATCATTATATATTTGATATATGATGATAAAAAAGTAGGTTATTTTTATTTTTTAAGAGTTTGTTGTGAATTGATCTTTTTGTGTATCAAGCATTTATTAATTTAAAATACTTACTCTTATTTTACCTTTTCTCTAAACTTGATCTATCAATTTTTACAATTATTGCTATCCAGTAAATCAACAAAAGTTCAATTGATATCCAATTGACTGACTCAAGGGTTTCTCTGGGATTGGTCAATCATATTTCAATTAAACTTTTTGTTGATTTATTGAATATTCCAACTATAGGCCTTTGTCAGAAGTTCTGTGAACCTGAAAAATACATTAAATTCTCATGTTTTTTTTTTTTTTTTAATTTTTATTTGCATCATTATTATTATTATTATCTCTTGAGCAAAGTTTTAAGACAGTAAAAATTATAGGGAAAAATGAAGATAACTGACAAAATTATCTTGATGGAAAATGATCTCCCCGCTATAAGTTGTCTAACAATATCCAGCAAAAAGTATATTGTGCCAGCCTTGCTATCACCTCATTGCAAAAAGTGGTGGTGTTGAGTGTGTGTGTGTGTGTGTGTGGGGGGGGGTTAAACTATGTCTAAGAGGAGATAACTCTTATATTACTGATCTCAATGTAACAAAACAAAAAAAATACATTAACCACAGAAAAATGTAGAAATTTTTCTTGAAATGTTGATGCAAAAACAAAGATGTTGATTTCAATTGCTACAATATTATAAAAATAATCTAAATGAAGATACTAATCCAGTATGAGATTATATATATATATATATATATATATTTTTTACTATCAGAATAATTCTTTTGGTATAAAATCTTTTGGTTATTTCAACTAGACAAACTACAAAAATGTAATGGCCGATTATTGTTGCAGTCACTGCTGAACAAGTTTGGAGGTTGATTAACTATAAATTATTTTAACCAGCTCTAAGACAGCAATAAATGTTGAAGGTTTTTTGTTTTTGTTTTTTTGTTTTTTTATCCTTACCATTATGCTGTTTGTTAGGATATCAACCATTATTTTATTTTTTGTATTGCAACCAGTAGTACTTGATATTATTGAATATTTTTATTATTTTAGCACCAGTGTGTAGAAATTAGCACAATTGTGTGTGTAGGACAATTAGCACTTCCTACAGATCAAATATCTGAAAAGCAGGTATTTCACAGTAATAAGGAGAACAATATTATGACAAGTTGCAAATTTCAAGAATTGTATATTATTTAAAGTTGTTTAGAGTTTAACAGGTGAAGTAGCAAAATATTTTGTCAATGAATGTGTTTATAAATTGTATCAATCTTCAATACATTTCTAAATTTGAAATATGAGTAAATGACTTTTTTTCTCTTTTATTTCTTTGAGAAGTATAACCTTTCCCACAGTCACCAAAAATGCACCGGATCCTTGTTTCTTCTGTTGAAAGAGCCACTCCCTGATTTATTCAGGCAGTGGAGTTGTATTCACCATGCTTGGCTGATTGTGGGTTGGTGAGGCTATTTAATCCATAGTTGGAGGTTCTGAATTCAGATTTGTCCTTCTCCTAGACTGGTTACCACTCAAGGTTATAGGAACCAGTCTGTCCAGTTATTTATTCATACCTGAGGTGTGGAAAAGAGATAGATTCATACCATTTCCCAAAGGTATTTTTACATACAAGAATGTAACAAACTTGGCTAGAACTTGAACCCAGCTCTCCAATTCTTCAATTCTAGCTGCTATCCATTACTCCACCTAGCCTCCTTGGTAGTAATAAAGTTGAGTAGCTGAAAAATACAAAAAAAGAAGAAAAAAAAGAATTGTGTATGTAATCTTTGCAGTTCTGTAAATTGTCCTTTCAAAATAAGTCTTTGAGATTTGTGTTTTTTTGTAGAGAGTGAAATAAATAAGAACAGTCATAAGATTTCATTATTTTGGGGTTATTTAATCAGAGACCCTCCCACAATCCGTGTACAGTTCTTTTTATATAGACTTTTTTTCTTTTTTCACAGAATATACTTAATGTTATTTACGATAAAGATTTTATCATGATTGCTCAAGGGAAATTTCTAAGATGGTTGTGCAGATGATTATTACAATCTACATTATTGATTCACATAGATTTACATTTTCAAATTGCTTGTCAGGGCTCCCCCCCCCTTTTTATATCTCATTGTTGTTTAGACACTTAATTATCTCTCTTAATATATTTACATTACTCGCCTGAATTTGACACTTGGGCATTTAAGAAATTAGGGAAGCTCAACATCATATTTACAATGACAATCATTTTTTTTCTTTTCATGAAATAAAAATTAAACTTGTTATGGCCCAGTGGATAAAAGCATTGGTTGAAGTAATCCAGTGTGGCAGACGTGATGAGACAGAACCTGGGACGAGCACAACTGGTTGCGACTTGCCTTGTCCCCGCCAAAAAAGAGCCCGTATTTGCTTAGCATGTAAAGCTACTGCAGTTGAAATGAGGGAGAAAAAAGCACTTACTGCTCTGCCGTAATCCGTCCTCGGCCAGATAACATAAAAGAATGAGGGGGACTTTGCATTGCATTTTTATGCAATAAAGATGCAATGCATTATGGGACAGGGACGCAATGAATTATGGGATTGCATGAAGACACAAGGGATTATGGGTATATGGACAAATATAAAAGCAACTAATTTTTCCCAGTGGGGGGGTTCTTTGAGTGACGTTCACGGTTGGCAGCTGGAAAAGTCTGTTAGTGTGATTTTGAGACAGAACTCAAGAAGGAACGACTCGAGGTTGGAATACCAGCTGGGAGAGCTTGAATTTACTCGCTGGTTGCTGTTTTCTTTGTATTTCGCCACATCCAGTGACTTCAACCAAAGAGTTGTGAGTTCAATACCTGGCTACAGCTGTAGTAAACCAAAAAACTTGGAGAGTTGAGTTAAAGGGAAATAACTGATATTGTGATATATAGCATGTGGAACTAAAACAATCTACCCTGGTGAATGAAATAAAGGGTTCAGTTCGAAATTCCAATCACCTGAAGAAGGCTGGAGCGTACAATGGTTGAAACGGCGTGAATATGGCAACAAAGATGAGGACAATGGTCCGAACATTGTAAATAGTGTTGAAAAAAAATGATTTATGTTAAAAAAAAAAATCACTACTTTAAGATAAATCCATTTAATCTGAAGTTTTTCTTGAATAGCTAACTTAAACTCATTCCATCATTGAACTAACCTTTAAATGGGGTAAATCATCTTTTGAAAAAGAATCATTCTCAGTTTCTTGTTTTTTCAAATTTTCATTTCAGCTGTTATTATTCATTTGTATCTCCCCCACATCAACCCACAAATAAAATGAATTAAAAATTAATGATTTGATTTTTTTTTTTTTTTTTTTTTTTTTAATGAAAATTGCAGAACCTGACACCTCAAACCGTCATTCAACGCGTGCTTCTCAGATGGCAGCATCACCCAAACATAAGCCGAAAACTTCAAAACCCACGTCCCAGCAACCTTCATCGCAACAGCACACGCAACAGACTTCACAAGGTATTTAATGAGATCCGCTTGATTCTTTTTCACTCTTGTTATTGTTCTGTCTGCTCTCACTTCTATAAAATGATGAACCTCAAAAAGGTAGAATGGTCAATAAATCACACAATTCCTTCTCTGGCTATCACTTCAACAAGTCACACAATTCCTTCTCTGGCTATCACACAATTCAACAAGTCACACAATTCCTTCTCTGGCTATCACTTCAACAAGTTCTCTGGCTATCACTTCAACAAGTCACACAATTCCTTCTCTGGCTATCACTTCAACAAGTCACACAATTCCTTCTCTGGCTATCACTTCAACAAGTCCTCTGGCAACAAGTCACACAATTCCTTCTCTGGCTATCACTTCAACAAGTCACAATTCCTTCTCTGGCTATTCCTTCTCTGGCTATCACTTCAACAAGTCACACAATTCCTTCTCTGGCTATCACTTCAACAAGTTCAATTCCTTCTCTGGCTAAGTCACACAATTCCTTCTCTGGCTATCACTTCAACAAGTCACACAATTCCTTCTCTGGCTATCACTTCAACAAGTCACAACAATTCCTTCTCTGGCTATCACTTCAACAAGTCAACAAGTCAATTCCTTCTCTGGCTATCACTTCAACAAGTCACTTCAATCAAGTCACACAATTCCTTCTCTGGCTATCACTTCAACAAGTCAACAATTCCTTCTCTGGCTATCACTTCAATTCACAATTCCTTCTCTGGCTATCACTTCAACAAGTCACACAATTCCTTCTCTGGCTATCACTTCAACAAGTCACACAATTCCTTCTCTGGCTATCACTTCAACAAGTCACACAATTCCTTCTCTGGCTATCACTTCAACAAGTCACACAATTCCTTCTCTGGCTATCACTTCAACAAGTCACACAATTCCTTCTCTGGCTAACAAGTCACTTCAACAAGTCATCACAACAAGTCATTCCTTCTCTGGCTATCACTTCAACAAGTCACACAATTCCTTCTCTGGCTATCACTTCAACAAGTCACACAATTCCTTCTCTGGCTATCACTTTTGATGTTCAATTTGTTGTTTTTTTTCTGGCTGTTTGAAATACTTATTGTTCTTTTGACTTTTGCAAAAGATAATTTCTGTTCAACTGATATTTTCAACAGTAAAGGAGACGTCTTTTTTCCTAAATGGTTTGTTATAAGAATATGGAAAGATATTTGTACCAGGTGAAAACTGATACTCTTAGCTATCCAGTAAATTAAAACTTGTTTGAACTTTTGACATGAGATATTATTAGCTCCAGCAATTTATGTATATTTCTTTATCTTTTCTTTTTGGCCAATTTCAGCTGATCAGTTTTCCACCCTTTTGTTGAATGCTTATCCAGTGGTAGTTATCATTTGTTTATTCTGATGGCTGGAGAACTGACCAGTTAAAATTAAAGAAAAAAACTACTGAGGATGCTTAACTTAATAAACTATTTCTTTTTTTTTAAGTTAGAATTTTAAAATGATTGCTTTTTTTTCTGTTTTGATTTTTTTTTTTGTAAAGCAGATTTTGTTTAGCTTCTAATGGTTTCCATCTAAGTTTATTAAAATTTTCAGTTTTCTGATGAGTCACATGCAATGAGATTATATCAGATCTGTGAGAGAGGCAGAGAGAGAATGGCAGCAAGTAAGATATTTGACATTTGAACTTGCAGATTTGCTCCAAATTTAACCTCATTCATTAAAACTTTTGGAAAGCTGTGTACCTTTTATACTACCAACCATGTAAATATAATCATGTCTGCATATAACAAGAAAACTTTCAAATTTGATCAAAGGCAGAACTGGAAAAAAAAAAAATTGTTTTAAAAAAAAAAAAAATAAATAAATAAAACTTTCAATATTTTATTTATTTATTTAATAAATTTTCTGATTGCTCTTTGCAGTGGGTGGGTAGTAGATGGAAAAGTTGTGTGTCTGACCCACTTCCTAAAAATCATTATTTCAGAAGCCAAACATGAGAATACTGATTTTTAGAAAATAGGTCAGGCTGAGAACTTTTCAACATGCTCTTATGGCAAATAAGAAAATTTCTGAATACCATTATTGTGTCTTAATAATTAGGCTATGAAAGTTAACCAGTGGGTATTGTTCAAATTTAGCCACTAGCAATATTCTTCTTTTTTTTTCTTTTTTTTTTTTTTTTTGTCGGATTATGATTCCAACGTCATAGTGTTTCCTATTTTCACCATAGACAACTCCATTATTTCTACTATTGACTTGCTGCAAATAAACCAAATTTATTTCTTCTCAGATCATCTCCAACATATTTTAAAAAATAGTTAACAAACACAACTAATTAGTGATTCCATGGAGATAAAATATTTTCCTTTTATTTTAGAGAAATTGTAATGAATTTGGTAAGCAATGAAATCCATACAGAAAGTTTTATTGAACCGTAATAATTATCTGAATTTCTAATGCAAATAAGTTTCATATCAGGACAGTCTATTTTTTTTTATTTTTTCAAACAGAACAAACTTTATGAAAATTGGATTGTGTAATGTGAACTTTTTTTTAAACTATGGCATTTTATCACTGAGAATGCTTTCTATATGAATAACACTGACATTCACAAAACACATTTAAGTTTATGCCTATCTGTATTTCTTAGTGCAATACTAATGATAATAAGAATGATGATGATGCTAAGAATTGGTGATGAATGTCAACGTGACCCCTCTCTAACTGTATTGTGTTCAAAGGCACACTTTGATTTAAGAAGTTTTCTCTGTTGTCTGCTTTTTCTAACGGGATCCTCAAGGCCAGAAAAATGATTATTAAACTATTGCTTCTAGATGGGAATTCATTTCACAAGACTGAATCCATGACTAGTTGAGAAAAACAAAGTGCTATATTTTGAGATCTTCTAGCAGTGCACATACATTAAATTTATAAGCCTTTATTAGATATGTTCACAGGTAAAAAAAGAAAAAAAAAAAATAAATTCCTCAAGGAGATATACATATATATATATATATATATATATATATATATATATATATATATATATATATATATATATATATAAAAAAATGGCACAGCCACTTGTATCTGAGGACACCAGTCTACTAGCTAATTCCCATCACAGACTCCTGCACATTCTGAGTTTATTCAACATCCACAGAGCCCACTTGTAGTTTATACTGCAATTATGCAGAGTGAATATTAGTTACAGTTTCTAGGTGAGTGCATTATCTAGCTTGATCAAAAGTCTGAACAAGGCCAGCACACTCGAACCTTTGTTCACAATGATTTGTGACTTTGTGCTAACATCACCATTGATGGCTCCCAAAGAGTTCTGTCTACCCAATTTCACTCACAAGGCTTGGGTCAACCCATGGTATAGTTTTCAAGCATTTTCCAAAGGCACTGCACACTGGGATTGCCTCCTCCAGATCGATAACATCAAGAAGTCACCTTCCTGACAAATCAACCATGGTAAGATTCAGACCTGGGTCTCATAGTCAGAAAGCAAACATATTAACCACTTGGCTACATATATAAAGTGTGTGTGTGTGAGATGAATACTGACTCAGAATGAGAAATCTGTCAAATTCCAGCTGAGTTTATTACATAGATACCTATCTCTCTTCCTATCTACATTAAATAGTAGCACTATAAATCCTTGGTTGGCCATCAATCTAAGAGATAGGCAACACTGAATTTAAAACCTAAGAAGGGCTGTTTGAGGACCTCAAGGTACACTGTGTGTTCCAGCTCGTTCCCTATATTTGATTCTTCCAAAAAGTATGGTTGGTTCTGCATAAGCCTTCATCGCTATAATCAAATCATATGTATGAGATGGTCTGGGTTTTAATTTTCTAAGTGCTGAACTGTTGGGCCATCATATATCAAAGACAAGGGGAGAGTCTATCATAATTTTTTTTTTTTTTTTTCCCACACTTTTTCATTAATTTGCATAACATTATTGTGTGAGAAAATTCAGGAGATGAAATGCGTTGGCAAATAAGTTTTCCTTTTTGTTTTATTATACAATGTGTGATGGACCCTGCCATTGATTTTAAAATATGAGGGCCTAAGTGTTCAGTTTAGAACTGAACTGCTTGACAACTCACACAAATGATTTACTTGTGTAGAACCAGCCACATGTTTTGGAAGAATTGAATAAAGTTTGCCATAAAGTCTCCAAACAACCTCCCTCAGAGTTTTCCTTCTCTTAGACTGTCTGCCAACCAAGGCTTCAGAGCCCAGTCTGTCCTGTTATTAAAGCTTTTTTTTTTTTCTTAAGAGCAATATCACAAAGTGAATGAAACAAACTAGATCAGAATTTGAACTTGTCTTGGCAATTCCACATCCCATGATGATAGCCATTATAGTCACCACACATCCATGTATCAATAATTGCCCATTTATGTACTTTTCCGAAAACAGAAAATTAGCATTTTGGGCATGCTGCCAGCCTCAGTCTGGTTCACTGATGAATGCACGATGTCATTCCAGTGCCGATGCTCATACGGTTCACCTTGCCCACAATTTGCTCGTCTTATGCGCAAATTTAGGTGGTGCAACTCGGGGCGTCTTGGATCTCCAAGGTAATTCTCCAGCACACTCCCCACTGATCTTCTGATCACAAAAGTGGCAGCCTGTCTGCGATTGCCTTCACCAGGTGCTTCTCCACAAAGGCAGTGAGTGTAGGTTCTGCTTCCTCTCCTACAAACTGTCTGAATCCATATTTCTGTTGTCATGCAGCAGACTCTTCAACCCACTCTCTGAAAATATTGTGCTGCCAGAGTCTTCCTTCAATGTGGTGACACTGTGGTGTAGGCGCAGATTCTTCACGTGGCAGGGCATTTCGTCCACCAAGACTGTGGTCTATTTTAGTCAATTAACCCCTACCAAACTTTGTGGTACACTGACTCTGCAGTGCCTTGACCCACACACAATCTCCAACCTGGTAAGGGCTGTGCCCAGGACATGAGGACATTGCCATTGTATCAATCCTCTTCACCCTAACTTCATATC